CAACTAATAAAATGTTTGTGATAATATGAAAAACATTTTGTTAATTGATTACTTTTTTATATCTTTTGCAAGAACCGAGATAAGTTGGCTCAAAGTGAGCTGCTCAAAGTGAGAAGAAGGCGCCACCTTATACCTACAATTTGAGCACAATTATCTCAATTTCTAGAATAGATTTCAACAAGTTGTCAATTAACAAAATTTTTTAATGTTATGACAAACATTTTATTAGTTGACAACTATTTCATATCTTTTACAGGAACCGAGATATTACGGCTCGAAGCTAGTGGTTTGAGAGGGTTTTCTATTAGAGTGATTACGGTAGAACCTAGTCATGTTTATACTCCTTTTGAAGTTATCGACTTGCTGAAAGTGGGAAAAATATTCTTTTTTCAAATTCAGCTCAAAATGGGTTTCAAAATGAGTATAAACATGCATATATATTTTTTCTGAAAAATTGAAAAACGGTTTTTTTTTCAAAATCTAGCCATCTTTATGCCCATTTTGAAAGGTTTCTTCTAATTTTTTTTGTGAAACATTAGCTTTTTTCTGAATTTCATGCCATGAAAAATTTGAATTTTCAGTTCACAGAGTCTTTCTAATTGAATCAAAGCTCTAATCGATTTTGTTCTCCGACATTTGCCTTCTCCAATTAACATTTATCTCCATCTTCTCGTTTATTTTCCCTAGCTTTATGCTCTTCTTTATTGAAATTTTTGCAGATGTCTTCGGTTAAAGTGGCAGTTCGAGTACGTCCATTCAACCAAAGAGAAATATCGAACGCTTCAAAATGCGTCCTTCAAGTGAATGGAAATACGACAAGTAAGTCCTCAAGGGAATGACATTTGAGAGACCGGGTTAACCCCTTCGCCCCGCAATTGTCTAGAAAAAAGAGCCCCAAATGATGCTCGAAAAACTCTGGTGACGTCCATCACTGGACCGAAACGGAATAATTGAAAAAAAAAAGAGAGAGAGAGAGAGAGAGAGAGAGAGAGAGAGAGAGAGAGAGAGAAGAAAGAAGCAATGCATAAAAAATAGAAAAGATGAGCTCGTGTGCTTCTAATAGCGAAAGAAGAAAACGATGAGAAAAAAGATTCTGGAGGTATTGAACCCCAGCCCTCTCCCATGCTAAGGGAGCGCTCTACCACTGAGCTATCACAGGTGATTCGCGCAGCGTCTATAATAGGTGAAATATTGTTCGCGGAAAATCGCCATGGGTACATCGGAACATGCCTGCCGCAGGCCATTTACAGACCAATCACGAAAGCGCCACCGCAAACGACCAATATTCCGCCTATCGCAAGCAAATCTCCTACAATTGGCTTGTCGCGAGAGCAATAATTGGCATATATTTTTTCGAATCTGGAAGCTAGCAGCTGCTAAAAATTGTTTATTCCACAGAAAAAACAAGGAAAAACGAAAAAACAATTAATTAAAAGTTATATAATCTCTTCCTCTGTCATCGTATTGCCTGGAGCGGCGTCGAAGCTTCTACTTCTGCCAGCTTTTGTCTTTTTCGATGACGGTCCAAGTGGGGGAGGAGAAGACGCTGTAGAATCTCGGTTAGCAAACTGAAATGATTTTTCGAAATTTTAAGCTCCCACTAATTTTTGTACTATACCTGACAGAAGTTATCGGCTGGAAATTTTCTCGAAATCAGCGAATTTGACACTTCCGACTGAAATCTAAAGTTTTTTCTCAGATTTTTTACAAATCTACCCACCTTTCCAGTTTTTCTCCCTTCCTCTTTCTCAGTCGTTTCTTTTCCGGAGTACTCAGTGGACGTACCAGAAAATTGAGAATTTCCTGGCTCCCTGTAAAAATTGGATTTGAAATTCGGACTTTCTGAACGCTTCTTACCTTTTGAAAGTAAAGTAGCAGTGCTATCTCCTGAATAAACCAAAATTTCGACTTCTAGCTTCCGACATTTGTCTCCTGGCCATTTTTCCAATTTTTCTGCAAATAAAAAGCAAAATACTGGCTGAGACAGTATTCTAGTATGCTTTTGTAGGTTAAATAATAACTTACGGACGAAAATTGCGAAGGAAACTGAAAAAAAACGATGAAAAATAATCAAAATAGGTGAAAGAACTTCGAAAAAGGAAAAACAAGAATTTTTTCGCGATTGGTCAAATGTGGGCCTTTTATAGGGTCAGTTAGTAAGATACGCAATGTGCTCGTGAATGTTCAATTGTAGAAGCACTAGTTTGCGGTAGGTGAGTAATTGGGTCGTTTATAGCTCTTCATCTGTAATTGGTCAATCACGAATCACCTGTGATACCCCCGCATGTTCTATTCGAATCAAGTGTCAATCATGTTATGAGAGTCGTGAGAAAAAGACAGTGCGGCAATGTTTATGCGGATAGTGTGAAAAATGATTCCGCGAGGGAAAGGCAAACAGGATGAATTTCCAGTTTTTTTGTCCGCGCGGAAAGATCTATAGAAATTGACACAGTTTCTCTCTATTTAATAGATTTGGAATCATATGAAATCGTGCGGGGGTATAGCTCAGTGGTAGAGCGCTCCCTTAGCATGGGAGAGGGCTGGGGTTCAATTCCCCATACCTCCAGAATCTTTTTTTCTTTTTAATTCAAAAAAAAATTTTTTTTTCAGCTATCAACGGTCAATCCATTAACAAGGAGAACTTCAGTTTCAATTTTGATCACTCCTACTGGTCCTTTACCAAGAATGACCCACATTTTATTTCTCAGAAGCAAGTGTATGAAGAGCTTGGAGTGGAGATGCTTGCTCACGCATTCGAGGGGTAGAACAAAAAAAGAGAATAGATGAACAAAAAAGATTTAGGTATAACGTGTGTATATTTGCATATGGACAAACTGGATCTGGAAAATCATACACCATGATGGGGAAAGCGAATGATAAGGACGAAATGGGAATCATTCCCAGATTGTGTGACGATCTATTTGAACGTATCGATAATAACAATGACAAAAATGTAGAATATTCTGTCGAGGTAATAGAATCTAATCATATCAAATGGGATCTATCAATTTAGGTCTCCTATATGGAAATTTACTGCGAAAGGGTCAAAGATCTTCTGAATCCCAGCTCTGGAGGAAACCTGCGAGTCCGTGAACATCCACTTCTCGGTCCATATGTCGATGATCTAACCAAAATGGCTGTCTGTTCATACAACGATATTTGCAATCTGATGGACGAAGGAAACAAGGCGAGGTGAGAGGAATAGACGGTTCATGTAAATAAACAACAAGCAATGTTTATGTGGGGGTATAGCTCAGGGGTAGAGCGCTCGCTTTGCATGCGAGAAGTCTGGGGTTCGATTCCCCATACCTCCAGATACACTTTTAAACTTGTTTTTTTTTCAGAACCGTTGCTGCCACTAACATGAACTCAACGTCGTCTAGATCTCATGCAGTTTTCACAATCGTTCTCACTCAAAAAAGACACTGTAGCGATACTAACTTGGATACGGAGAAAGTTTCAAAAATATCGCTAGTCGATTTGGCCGGATCTGAAAGAGCTAATTCCACAGGAGCTGAAGGCCAAAGATTGAAGGAAGGAGCCAATATTAACAAGAGTTTGACAACTTTGGGTCTTGTCATCAGTAAACTTGCTGAAGAAGTAAGTTCGAAACATCATGTTTCTGTTTTGTTCACATTTCAGTTGTAGACGGAAATAGAAAAAGAATCAGTAAGTTAGAGTGGTCAACCATCAAATTATTTTTTCACCGTTTTTTAAACCGTAACACAGTTTTTCTCTGGGTGTATTGTGAATTGAATGTATAATTACCATTTAACACATGCTTAAAACACTAAATGCAAACATGCTCCATCGACAATCTACGAAATTTCGTTGGAGCGTACTTGCAGCTTTTTCGAGTGACCTGACATACCAAAGAATGTGTTCTAGAACTGAGTGATTGTTTTCAGGCGGGAAATAAGAAACGACGAATGAAGGGAGTGATTCCATATCGTGATTCTGTGTTGACATGGCTTTTGAGAGAAAATTTGGGAGGGAATTCAAAAACGGCTATGCTGGCTGCACTGTCTCCAGCCGATATCAATTTTGATGAAACATTGAGTACTTTGAGGTAGGCTTAAATCAAAAAATGGATGCATAGGAAGTTCGGCTCTACGTTACTTCGAAACCCGTCATTTCAAAACCGTGGTAATACAGACGAATGGATACGTTTCAGACTAGAAAAACATTTGTGGGTTTTCAAATATACCTTTTCTGATAGAAAACATTTTGAAACTCGCAAAATTCGAAAAAAATTATTTCTTGAAAAATTTAATTTTGGATTTTTCGAGTTTCAGAATATCTTTTATCCGAAAAAACATATTTGAAAACCTTAAAATTTTTTTTGCAGTCTGAAATTCATCCATTAGTCTGTATCACTACGGTTTCGAAATGACTGGCTTCGAAGTGTCGCGGTTTCGAAGTGACGCGAAGACGGAAGTTTAATTCTGCATTTCAGATACGCGGATCGAGCGAAACAAATTGTTTGCCAAGCCATCGTTAATGAGGATCCAAACGCCAAACTCATTCGGGAACTCAAAGAAGAAGTCAACAAATTACGTCACATTCTGGAAGACAAGGGAATCGACGTGGCAGAAGTTCAAGATACTCCAGGAAAACCTAAGAAGGGACCAAAGTTATCTGCGCAAGTACATGACACAATAGAACAATTGCAAGCTTCGGAGAAATTGATAGCTGAATTGGATAAGACATGGGAACAGAAATTGAGAAATACAGAAGAAATCAGAAAACAAAGAGAAGAGGAACTTCGAGACATGGGTCTTGCGTGTCTGGATGATGGCACCACATTGGGAGTTTTCAGTCCAAAGAAGCTTCCACATTTGGTGAATTTGAACGAGGATCCTCTGATGTCAGAGTGTCTGATCTATTACTTGAAAGAAGGAGTTACGAGGTAAGATAAATAAGGAAAAAAAAGATTCTGGAGGTATGGGGAATTGAACCCCAGCCCTCTCCCATGCTAAGGGAGCGCTCTACCACTGAGCTATACCCCCGCATGTTCTATTCGAATCAAGTGTCAATCAGTTTATGAGAGTCGTGAGAAAAAGACAGTGCGGCAATGTTTATGCGGATAGTGTGAAAAATGATTCCGCGAGGGAAAGGCAAACAGGATGAATTTCCAGTTTTTTGTCCGCGCGGAAAGATCGATAGAAATTGACACAATTTCTCTCTATTTAATAGATTTGGAATCATATGAAATCGTGCGGGGGTATAGCTCAGTGGTAGAGCGCTCCCTTAGCATGGGAGAGGGCTGGGGTTCAATTCCCCATACCTCCAGAATCTTTTTTTTTGCATTTTAACTGAACAAAATAAGTTTTCTTTTCAGTGTTGGTCGCCCGGAGGCTGAAAGACGCCCTGACATTCTCTTATCAGGAGAAGCAATTCTAGACCTTCACTGTGAATTTGTGAATGAAGATGGCAATGTTACATTATCAATGCAACCAGAAGCTTCTGTTTATATCAATGGAAAACAAGTAACGACACCAACAGTACTACATACTGGATCCAGAGTGATTCTTGGAAAACATCACGTCTTCCGGTATAACGATCCACAAGAAGCTAGACAAAGTAGACATAATTTGGCAGCAATTACTGGTAAGAGAAAATAGATAATACCGTCTTCTTCAAACTCAATTATCTCGATTCCTGTGAAAGATATAAAAAATTTGTCAACTAATAAAATATTGGTCATAGCATGATAAATATTTTATCAGTTGACCACTTTTTAATATCTTTCACAAGAATCGAGATAATTGAGGTCGAAGATAGTTGACGGTTAGGATGGGTTACGGTAGCTTCGAAAGGAAATTTATTTACAGCTGAACAACCAATTGACTGGAAATATGCTCAACAAGAACTTTTGGAAAAGCAAGGAATCGATTTGAAGAAACAAATGGAAAATAAATTATTGGAAATGGAGTCACAATATAGAAAAGAGAAAGTGGAATTGGAGAAGAAAATGTTGTTGCAAACGAAGGTAATTAGCATTTAGATTAGAAAACATTTCAAAAATTTTGTTGCAGGAGTACGAGACATTGATCGAAAGTCTACAGAGACAAGTGGACTTGGCTCAGTCTGTCATATCGAGTGGAGGTTCAATTTGGGAAGGAGAGAGAATGTTGACGTCTTCTATGACTGAATTTCGTGAGTTATTTTTAGAAGCGGAGATTTTTTGTTGAAGATATCAATTTCCAAAATGTCCTGTACAATGGAAATATATTCCAGCAGAAGAATTGAAATGGTCCTCCGATCAAAAAAGAGTCGTCAGAAAGGCTGCAATCAAATGGAGATACCATCAGTTCACTTCTGTAAGAGATGATCTTTGGGGAAATGCGATTTTCGTCAAAGAAGCCAATGCGATTTCTGTGGAACTCAAAAAGAAGGTGCAATTCCAATTTGCCTTGCTCACAGACACCATGTATAGGTGAGTGGAAATCAGAAACTACGGTACCGATCAATAAGATCAATCATCTTTGAGCTCAATTATCTCAGTTCCTATAAAAGGTATCAAAATTTTGTCAACTAATAAAATATTGGTTATATTACGATATATAATTTACCAGTTGACTACTTTTTGATACCTTTCACAGCAACCAAGATAATTCAGCTCAAAATAAAATAACCAAAAATCAACTGAAAAATACGCCAACTTTGAACCCATATATCTCAGTTCTTGTAAGAGATATCAAAAATAAATCAACTGATAAAATATTGGTGACATTATGTTGAACATTTTGTTAGTTAAACACTTTTTGATCTCTTTCACAAGAACCGAGATACACTGTAAGTGAAAACTCAAATCAAAATTTCAGTCCACTGCCACCTGATCTCCTACCCCCTGGAGAAGACCTCACCCTTCGACCGTATCCAAAAACAGTGGTTGCAATTCAAGTTCAGGATCTTAAAAATGGAGCAACTCATTACTGGAGCATTGAGAAGCTCAAGTAAGTCATCCAATGTTTCTCTTTTGTCTTTCTCATCCTCTCTCTGATCTCTTCTTCTCTCTGCACGATCTCCATGTGTAGATCTGCAACTACAGTAACCCGTTGTCTTGAAATCACGTCGTCGTGTTTTTATTAGAATAACTCATTTTTTCTCATTTTTCTTTATTCACACGCCCACAGAGCAGCTTCTTGTGCTTTCACTTATCGCTTAAGTGTACTGTGTACTGTACACTTCTTCTACCAATTTCTTTTTTTCTCACTGTTTCAATGTTCACTCGGGCGGCACGGTATCACTATCTTTTGGTTCAAAACTTCTGGATACACTTTTATTGAGTTCATAGATTACCGTGAAACCTGAAGGGCTCCTTGAGCCAATTTATCTCGATTCCTGCCAAAGATTTTAAAAAGATGTCAACTGATAAAATTGTTTATCATAATATCAGAAGTGGTTTATCGGTTGACACATTTTCGATATCTTTCACAGGAAATGAGATAATTAAGCTCAAACTTGACGGTGGGAGGCCCTTCTATTAGATGTTTTACGGTATTTGGGGAAACACAATTTCTCAGGTCGGCCTTTAAGCCGCGAGAGTAACTGGAAGAAATATGCTGAATTTTTAAATTTTTATTTTTATTAATTGTTTCCACAAGTTTTCGGATTCCCGGAGAGAGTTAGGTATATCAAGCATTCAAAAGAGAATTCAAGTTTTTTGAAAAAAATCTTTGTATAAAAAAACAGCTGTAAAATTATTGGGGGGAATTTTGTAAATTCTGTATCTTTGTTGTGCTAAGAACCAAGAACAAATACGGTAAAACCTATAATAGAAGCCCACATAAGCTGTCAACTTTAAGCCCAATTATCTCGATTCCTGTGAAAGATATCAAAAATTTGTAAACTGACAAAATATTGATGATATTATGATAAATAATTTATCAGTTGACCGATTTTTGAAATCTTTTACAGAAATCGAGATAATTGAGCTCAAAATTGACACTTTGTCCTTATTAGATGAAATACGGCAGTTCAAAACTTTCAAAACAAACACTTCTATAATTTTTCCAAACTTCTTCCTTCTGTAAAACCGAACCTCTAGATTTTAGTATGTTATTTACCCTCTTATAAAAAGAAAACATTTCCTCTGAAAATGAAGAATACCGTAGATCGCCCGTTCCGACCAATTACAGGCAACGTCTCGAAGACATGCGAATCTTCTACAATTCGGAACTTTCTGTTGCTGGAACACCAGTCGATGCACCATATCCACCAGTGGCTGAAGGATGGCTAGCTGCTTTGCATCTCAATCCGGCACGTCTTATACCCGACAGGTACTGGATCTGATTCTTCTCTTCTTTCTCTCACCCGCTTTTTGCTTCGCATGCAATACATTTCCTCTCAAAAATCCATCTTTCTCCAGTATTGTGCATGATTCTTATTTCTCTTAAATTCTCAACTTTTTGATTTAAAGGTTTCCAAATGATTTCTTCTTTGGGTTACTGTAACCATCCCCTGAGCATGTTTGAAACTATTGCGCGAGACACAACTAATCAATCTTTTTTTGTGACATCTCCTTTCTCGATTTTGTTTTCAGCTTTAGTTTAATTTCCATTTTCAGACAACGTCTTGAAGCAATGCGTGACATGTATGAAACGGATGCACAGATGTCACCTACAGATCAAGATCCAATGATGGATGCATTAATGGGTACCGATCCATTTTATGATCGATTCCCATGGTTCAGAATGGTTGGGAGGGCGTTTGTATATTTGAATAACTTGCTTCACAATGTTCCACTAATTCATAAAGTGGCTGTTGTCAACGAGAAAGGAGAAGTTAAAGTATGAAACATAGAATTAGGGACATAAATTCTAAATAGCTATATACTTTAGGGTTATCTGAAAGTTGCTATCGAACCAGTGCAGAAGGATGAGGCGCCGTGCCAGAAGAAAGGAGTTCGTCAAACTGCGAAACTACATTTCAGAAAAGAAGATTTCCTGAAAACCCATAAAAATGGAGAGACTGATGGTAACTAAAAGGAATCAGAGTAATCAAAATTCAAGAAAAAAATTCCAGAATCCAACGAATTGGCGTTCCCTGAGCACATGAAAGAAGAAGTGGAATTCTGTTTCCGTGTTGTCGTTCTTCAAGCCATCGACGTGGCAGAAGCGTATTCAGATGTATTCTGTCAATTCAAGTGAGTATTCTTATGGAGGAAATAAATATTTAAATCGTTTTTTTTTCAGTTTCCTTCACCGTCACGACGAAGCATTCTCCACCGAGCCAATGAAGAATTCGAAATCACCGTTGACATTCGAACACACTCAAAATCTTCACATCAAAATGAGCAAGACGTTTCTCCACTATCTCCACCATTTCCCAATTATTTTCGAGGTTTGTTTTTTCATAGGAGTTTTTCATAAACACTCTAATAGAACGGCATCCCTAACTTTCAACTTCAAACTCAGTTATCTCGATTCCTGTAAGAGATATCAAAAATTTGTCAACTGATAAAATGTTTATTATAATATTCAAAACAGTTTGTCAGTGTACTACTTTTTGATATCTTTCACAGTAACCGAGATATGTAGATTTAAAGTTGATTTGGTGGGCGTTCTACTATAGTGTTTACGGTAATCGGGCTTGTAAACGGAGCCCCTGGCGGGCCTTCGGCGGTCATGTCATAGGTTTTTTTAGAATGAAAACGTTTGAACCAACCAAATCAGACGTTATAGAACTTGCCGAGTACTACGAAATGATACTATTTGGACTACTGTACCTTGTCTATGAACAAAGTTACAATACAAAAACTGTCTGAGCTACGCGATCACAGCTTTATAGCTTGTAACTTTGTTCATAGACAAGGTACAGTTTTTTTGTATCGTTTCGTAGTACACATCGAGTTCTATCATGTCTGATTTAGTTGATCAAAAAATAGTGGTTTTAAAAAGGAACTATGGCAGGGCCAGCGAAGGCCCGTCTCGGGTCCGCCATTGGCCCGCCAACGCCCCCGTTCATAAGATTGGTCTTAATTTTTCTGTTTTCAGGTTTTCGGACATTTCCAACCGAAAAGTGAGCAATTCAATTTCGAAAGACAAAACAGTGCACTTGGAAGAAGATTGAGCACTAAATTGACATTCCAACAGCCAAGTCTTGTGATTTCAACACCCGTTAAGAGCAAAAAAGCAAATGCGCCAATTCACAACAAGTTAGTTTTTTCCATCTTTTCTATATTAATTTACAACAATTTTCAGCACGGCTTCTGTGAAGTCAAAACACGATCTTTTGGTTTGGTTCGAGATTTGCGAGCTGGCGAATAATGGAGAGTACGTTCCAACGATTGTCGATCATGCTCAAGGGCTCCCAACTCATGGAATCTTCCTTCTTCATCAAGGAATTCAGAGAAGAATCAAAATTACCATATGCCATGAGAAGGGAGAATTGAAATGGAAAGATTGTCAAGAACTGGTTGTTGGACGTATTCGTGCTGGTCCAGAATGGGCTGGAGGAGATGATGTGGATGTGTTATCTCTTGGATTGTTCCCTGGAACCTTCATGGAATTTTCCATGGATGATCGAACATTCTTCCAATTTGAAGCAGCTTGGGACTCTTCCCTTCATAATTCTCCGCTTCTAAACAGAGTTTCCAATTATGGAGATCAAATTTACATGACTCTTTCTGCTTACATGGAATTGGATGGATGCGCTCAGCCAGCTGTGATTACTAAAGACTTGTGTCTTCTGATCTACGCCAGAGACTCCAAGATCTCAGCAGCCAGTCGTTTCTGCCGCTCGCTGATTGGTGGAATCTCAAAATCGCCAGAAATGAATCGTGTTCCAGGAGTGTATCAATTGTGCCTGAAGGATGGATCCGACTCAGGTAGTCCAGGTGAAACGCTTTCCGCTTTTATTTTTCTCTACCCCTCGAATTCTCACTATCCCTCAAATTAGAAGCTTTCATAGAGGCATCCTTCTCACCCATTTCTCTCCCTTAATGCTTTTTTTGCTTTTTGCCTTTTTTTGGTTTCCTTCTTTTTTCTGTTTTCCAATTTCAGATGTTTTTCAGGAGCGATCCGTCGTCAACGTCGTGTTCTTGACACTTCATCGGCTTATGTGAGAGGAGAAGAGAATCTAGGTCAATGGAGACCACGTGGCGATTCACTGATCTTTGAGCATCAATGGGAATTAGAAAAATTGACCCGACTTCAACAAGTGGAAAGAGTTCGGCTGTTCTTGAGACTTCGTGATAGATTAAAGGGAAAGAAGAACAAGGGAGAAGTGAGAACTCCAGTCAGTCCATGTGATCCGGTTTGCGCTATTCCGGAAAGTGTCAAGCTGGATGATAAGGAAAAAGGGATTGTTGGAAAAGTGTTGGGACTGATCAAAAACAAAATTCCAATGAACAAGGATCCTCCAACTGGAAACAAAGCACAAGAACTCAGTGATGAGAGTGGATCAAATAGCATCACATCTCCAACTTCTGATAAGTAAGTCATCTTCTTCATCATCTTCTTCTTTTTTTTATCTCTTCCAAATTCAATCATTTCCATTTACAGATCTCTTATCAGATCTTCACAATCATCCGATCTTCTCTGCCGTCAAAAATCGAAGTCTGACCAGAACCTCACATCAAACGATGACATCATTGACAGCATCGGAGGAATGAAGCGAAGTTTGAGTGGATCCCGAATCCTTCAACTCAATATTTTGGTTCCCGAGGTGTTGGAAGAACGTGTTGGAGTGGTTGTTTCGAAGAAGGGATATATGAACTTTTTGGAAGAAAAAACCCAGGGCTGGACTCGTCGATGGGTAGTTGTTCGTCGTCCGTACATTCTGTTGTTCCGAGATGATCGAGATCTCGTAATCCGAGGAATCATCAATTTGGCGAATGCGAGAATCGAACATTCCGAAGATCTTCAAGCCATGGTTAAGGTTCCAAATACATTCAGTGTTTGCACAAATCAGCGAGGATTTTTGATGCAGATGATGCCTGGAGATGAGGTATGAGATTCTTTGAATTAGAAAAGGTTTTCGTGGTGGGACCCAGAAAAAAATTTAGAGTTCGAAACTAATCGTGTTTATACTCATTTTGAAGTTCTCAACAAGCTATTTCTGTTTTTTTTTTTAATTTTCAATTCTGGGCAAAAATTGGCTGAGGTACTGTAGTTTTAGGGATTTTCGTGGTGGGGCCCGAAAACTCGAAACTAGTCAAATTTTATGATTTTTGAGTTATGCATTTTGAACTTAAACTGACCAAGATACAGTCGTTTTTGGGTCCCACCACAAAAAACCACAAAAACTACCGTAACAAATACGGGAAATAAGCTTTTAGGTTACGGTAGTTGTCGTTGGGAGACCTTCGACCACGGCCACCGGCGTTTCTCTTCCTCAGTTCTGATTTTTTGTACCAGACGAATAGCGAAACTTTTGAAGGCGCATTTGAAGGAGCTTGTATTGTCGAATTAAAAAAAAAACTGACACCTGAAATATTTCGCGGGCGATTTACGAGGCTCCACCCCAAAATCGGTATACTGTACTGAAAAGTTTAATTTCTGTGAATTCAATGATTTTCCGAACCGAATTTAGATTATTGGTATGAAAATGATGATTGTTAGCATCTGTAGAATTTAATTTTCATCGAAACGTTACAAAATTCAAGAATTCAAATAATCTATTTTCAGAATGTACGACTGGCTGTATGCTATCAATCCATTGATGGCTGGTCAAATGAAACTACACGGAAATCAAAATGGAAATTCATTGAAATCTCCAACTTCATCAGCTACAACAACAACCACACCAGCTCCATAATTATTCTCATTTCTCTATTTCTATTGCTTTATTTCTATTCTATCTCTCTCTCTCTCTCTCTCTCTCTATTTTTTCTTTATTTTTTTCTTCTGTGATTTCTCATTTTGCTTCCTAGATTCATCGTTTCTTTCTTTGATTAATTCATTATTTATTTTTTCAGATATGTTCCCCGATTTACCGTATTTTTAAATTTAGCTAACGAGTACTTTCTTGACCGTATAACAATTTTCAGTGCTCCACAATTAGTGTCCCGGTTTGAGAGTTGATTCACACTGAAAAGAGTTTTCTATCGCTTTTTCGCTTTCTTTTGTTTCTTTTGTATTGAAAAATGCCAAATTCCCGTTCTCTTCCTAAATAAATTGATTCGCTTGATTTGACTCAAAATGTTTGAGAAACATTTTTTTTAGTAAAGCACACAAAAGCATCACTTTTTCATCGATTTCGGGGGAATTGTAACTCGGATTCAAAGGGAAAAAGGCAACATCAATAACACAGTTATTTTGAGAATATTATAATACAACGGGGTGGAAAAAATAGAATGCGTTATAAAGCTATGAGGTGATTGATACATTTGACATGAATTATGCTAGAAAGAAAATGGGAGTGAATAGAATATGATAGAATACTGGTGTGTAGTTGATAGTTGGTGCAGAAATTATTTTCTTGGTTTATGAACATCTGTTGGCATTGTCATCGGAAGTGGTTTGTAGGAGATCGTCGTGGATTTAGTGCGGAATGTGACATAAGTGTAGAGAATACTGCCGAATACACTGAAAAAAAAAACTCATATTGGTCTCGTCAATTAACCTAAAAGCTATACCTGATATTGATACCCGTAAAGTTGGCCCATTGAAAGACGTAATCTCCACTTGAGAACATTCCTACATAGGTGACGAACAGATTCTTAATCGGGCCAACGCATGTTGTTGTCAAGGCAGAGTTGTGATGGGTGCACAGAACGAGGGAATAGTTGAGCACGAATCCACAGATGCATGAGAGCACGAAGCATGCCCAAACAGACGACGTCATCGAGTCGGATAGCATGAACGCGTACGCACGATCTAGGTCACCAGTGTATTGGACAACACAGAGAGCTGGGAGAAGCATGAAGAGACAGTTGTAGAACATCAACCCGTACTTTCCGAGATCCTGAAAATCGGGTTTTCGGTTTTTAAATCTGGTATGCCGGTACAAAGAAATCGGAGCTGTGAAAAGAAGATCCCACAACGACAACTACCGTAACCTAAAAGCTTATTTCCCTATTTGTTACGGTAGTTTTGGTGATTTTCGTGATGGGACACAAAAGCGACTGTACCTTGGTCGCTTTCCATTCAAACTTCAACACTAAAAAATCATAAAATTTGACTAATTTCGAGTTTTTATGTCCCACCACGAAAATCACTAAAACTACAGTATCTCAGCCAATTTTGGTCTTTTAATTGGAATTAGCTTGTTGACGGCTTGACTCCGAAATTTTTTAAATTTCAGAATTTTCGTGGTGGGACCCAAAGTTATTTAGGCCAAACTCAAAAATGAAAAAAATACAAACGATTTCTAAGTTTTGGAAACATTATTTTTCGACTTCTTCAGAGGTTTTCAACACAAAAGTTGTAGAAAATTTTGGGTTACGGTAGTTTTCGGCACGGGGGCCTTGGCCACGCCCACAAGCTCTTCTCTTCCAATACGATTTTATGAGCCAGAAAAGTCTTTTCGTTTCCCTTTCTTCTTTCTCTATTCCTCTTTGCATGGTTTTTTATTGCGCCAACGCGGACGATCTTTCTCTTTTTTTTTCTCTATTTTTTGGCAACGAGTCGTTCACCTACCTTCGCGTCAAGCTTTTGCTTCGTGTAGACTCCTAATGCTGCCGTGCAGATATTATTGACAAGAATCATAGTGTAGCCGAGAGCATCAAACGAGAGATCGTAGATAGCAGCGATGAAACTTCCTCCAATCATCAATCCAACTGAGATCTTGACTGCCTTCGACGCTTTCACACTGAATATTGAAGTTTTAGCATGGCCGATGCTAAGAGTTATGACTCACTCTAAAATGTAAAACTCTAGAATCATGGTCATCAGAATCGAGAATCGACGAAGAACCGTGAACATTGGTAAGCTGAAATATTTGTTTTGAAGGATGGAAATTAATTTTTCAGACCACAAACTTGATCATTTGAGTACCGCCGAGTCCAGAGATCAGATTGAAGAAGTACAAAAGTGGAAGCGGCATGATTTTCCTAGGAATTGACGAATCGAGCGATGGAAATTGTACAATTCGGAAAACCTTGGCCAGGAAAAGGATGACGATGGTAGCCATCATTTGACCGACTCCAACGAACAGAAATGATGGGAACCTGAAACCAAGGCATGTTCCTTTTAAATTTATCATTTTCAAACTCACTTATAGTTAGTCAATAGAATCTTGTTAACAAACACAATCAGCACCGAAATGACTCCATAGAAAACCGCAGAAAGTACCCGTAATAGGAGTGGTGACTGTTGTGACGTCATCTGAATCAGAGATTAGGTAATATCAAGAGAAAAATTAAGAAAATATGTGAGCCGAGCATGACAAACCATACAGTAAGAAAATATATCGAGGAGATTTAGAAAAAAAATTATGCATTTATATACAAACTATAGAAAAAAGGAAAAAACGGATGAGAACGTAAAAGGAATTTGACAGGAATTTGAAGCTATTCACAAGAAAGAGAAGGACCAATATACGGCAATTTTGAAGGCCAAAGCTTTAGAAGAACATGAGAGGTAAGATAAAGGGATAACACAAGTAATTACTACGCTATGCAAAAAAGAAGTCGTCATGAGCATCGATGTAATGTTTATAAGTCAAGAGGGAATTGGCACGGAGAGGGCATGTACGGGGATGTCAAAAGTACAGAAAAAGGAGGATGGTAACCGGGAAATGAGCGTTCAATGTTATATTAAACTAGGGAGTTGGACTATACCGTACAACCTCTAATAGAAGTGCCCTCTAACTTTCAAATTTCCGCCAATTTATCTCGGTTCCTGTTGAAGATATGCAATAGTTGTCAACTGATGAATCGTTTATCATAGTACCGAAAACATTTTATCAGTTGACATATTTTTGATATCTCCTATGAGCGGAGATAATTGAGCCCAAACTTGACAGTGTGGGGACTCTTCTATTACAGGCTTTACGGTATAACTAGAAAATATATGAAACAGAGAAAGAAGAACATCGGATTAGGATATTCCATAGGTTAGACTCGGGTCAATGGTTATGTTATACTCGGATAGGGAATACATGAGTTTGGCAAAGTAGGTCATGTGAGCAGGAGTTCGAAGGAACGACGGTTCATTGTACATGTCCGCAGTGACAGGGGAATATCGCATAAGTGGGAGGAGTCCCGGTAAAATATGGTCTCTGGAAAGGTATAAAAATTGCAAAAAATTACTTGAGGGCTCATCCGATACTTCGCTACAAGCAGACTTCATTTTGAACTTTTTGACTTAAAACTGTTGATATTTTTCAGATTTTCGCGACTAGCAGACTGTGTGGCTATTCATGTTGACATAGAAATACACGTGTATCTTTTGTTGTATGGAAAAAAAATCGAGAGAACGATATACTTTTCTTCGTGTCTGAAAGAGGAGACCTATTCTGAAGATGATATAATACTAAACCGAAACCAGTTTTTTGTGGGCATTCGCTGCGGTTGATAGAGGTCAGCGGTGCTGTAAAAGGGCGTTCGATTGGCCCCGGAGGGGAAGGAGAAGGAATTCAAAACGTAAAACAGCTGCGCAAATCTGAACTGTCCATTTCGGGTGGTGGAAACCCAATAAAACGGATGCGCGCGGGGTACACCGATAACGATCCAGAAGCGATGGAAATGGATGAGTAGATAGGTGGACAAACCTGATGGATAAAAGCACAAATACGTGGAATTTTCCGTCTTTGCCGAGAGAAGTCTTTGCGTCGATTTTTCGATATAATCTGAAACATAAGGGTCGTTTTATGGAGAGAAGACTGCAGTGAATGAAAGAATAGGATCCAGAATCTCAACTCCAATCATTGATTTCTTGAAAATACATACCTCAACGCATGGTGGATCATCGTCTTTTGTTCTTTGGGTAGCTTGTCTACATCCTTCTTACGACACAGTTCGAAGAACCAAGAACATACTCGCTCTGAAAAAAATCGAATTATGCAGATGATTATTGATAGAAATGCAAACCAATATAGTCCCAGGGACAAGTGTTTCTAAAATACTTCAGAAGAGATTCTTGTCGACCAAGTTGGAAAGCTTGCTCGATCGCCAAAACAAGACCGTTTTGTCCGCAAAGCAAATGAGCCAGTTCACTTTTCACTTTTCGTTCCGAGCAGAAATATTTGACGAGTGCGTTCACGGCTTCGACAAGAATGTGCTCGACTTCACTTACTTTGGTTTCTAAAAAAACATCAATGTATTGGTAATTTACATCACAAGCTTACTTCTAGAGCGAGATCCGGATTCAGTTAACCGCCCATTCGAAGGACTTCGTTCTCTTTGTGGCGTTTGGCTTCTGGAACTCATCCGCCGAGTTCTTGCTGGCGAACAAGGCTCATCGGGGATCCCGTTATCATTTCCATCATATTCGATGAAAGGTTCTGCGACAAGCATCCGTTCAAGTGTGATATCTTCCCCATTACCGAACCACCGATCTTCACCGAATTTCTTCGAGCAAGGGAATTTATATGTTTGTCCAGTGATTTCATTTCGAACCAAAACATATTCCAAGAACCATTGCATCGGCTTCTCACTCTGTTGATGGCCAATTCGCAGTGTTGATAATTGACCAAGATTTTTATGATCAAATTTGAACAAAGGAGTATTGGGCTTGAGCATAATTGGAGGTGTTGAGCAAAGACTTCCTTCTACAGTAACCCAGATGGCAGGAATAGCTCCACGACCGGATCCCGTAACGATTACTACCTGATAGTCCATTTCTGCAAAAACAATTTAGCCATATATGCCTGTGTAGGGCTTAAACTCACTTGTTTTGGTGAACGTATTTGTGAAACATCTGAATTGAGCTGCGTTCAAAGTCAAAATGTAGTACAGAAACTGCTCCTTTTCTTCGTCGGTGCCAACAAAAGCGTATGGTTTGTAGAGCTCTCTGCAAAAGAAACAATGGTTTTCTTCGAAGAAAAATGAACAAATAAATCAAACCTCAGAACTCGCGAATTGCTGAGCAATGCACCCAGATGCTTGTGTAGAAGTTTTCTTTCGAGAGCCAATCGAACGAACGCACGAGCATAGCCGATATCTGTTTTGATTTCGGTCATCCGAAGAACATTTCTGAAAAAAGATGAATACGAGACTTTCTACAAGATCTTCATACTTCAAATCATAAGCCACGTGGGTGGGAAGAGGCGAGAGAACAACCCTTGCTCCATCTGGACTCCTAGCTCGGCTTTGTGATCGAACTTTTCGTGGAGATCCTTCCACACTCGCATAGCCACCCAGATTCGATACGTCGGTTTGGGATCCGTTCCATGAGGGATTTGTAAAATCTGAATATTGATGAGTTGATTTAGTTAAAATATTCAAGATGTGTTAGAGCGGCACCCAAGACATGTAAGCTTGTTTTCAAGAACCAACGCCAATCAGTTAGACACAGAGGGGGTGGATTTCAGAACTCAGAAGCGTTACGGCACACTTTTTAGGATGGACTTTTCTGTTTTTTTGAACCTTCGGGTTTAGTCGGATGCTTATTGTTAGGACAGAACAGAAAACATGCAAAAAATGCACAAATCACAATACTAACCACCAATACTAGTTGATTTCTTCATTGACTTTCCAGATGGTACTCCAGATGGTTCAACTGATTGATTCCGGGCTCTAACAATTGACGGATGGGAACGGGGATAACGAGGGGGTGGTGGAAGAGTCGTAGTGTTGTTGACGCCTAACGGATTCCCGTTGGAATCCTTCTCCCCACTCTTGTACTTCTCAACGATCGATGTAGCTGCACGAAGAAGTGACTTGCTCCATGGTTCTTCTTGTGCTCCGCGGAACGAGTCCACAATATCACTGATAGCAGTGAGCACATCTGTATTATTTTGAGGGGAGAGAATGATTGGGGCGGGAACTTCATCTATGGGCATACGTCGAGGAGGGCCAGGAGGAAGAGAGGGAGCACGCGCTCCTCGTATATCTGGAAAGGACAACACTCGGGAAAAAAGGTTTTACAACACGACACCTAAATGAGTCTGGTAGTCAGTCTCTGAACTGATAAATTCAAACCACTAATCACAATATATAAACTGAAATGAGCTCTAATATTGAAAGCATAGCGATATTCTCAAGTAAGACAGCGAGATAGTTTCAGCCAAGATCGAAAAAAGCAGCATGAAATCGGCTCACACCGGAACTCTTTTGTGTTGATATCTTACGTTCGATTTTTTTTCGCAAGACGAGCCACGCTAACGCTGAATAAAAATAGAAGTGTGACATGAAGAAGAAGAGGAAAAAGAACAACTCCTAAATGAAGAAGAAGAAGAAGAAATCGTCAAACTTGAAGTATAAGAATTTTGAAGAAAGAGGAGCCTGAAGAGCCAATAAAGTTAGTGTCATACCTGGAGTGAGCATTGAAGTGGAAGATGCTCTTGTCGACAGTCCTGGTTTTTCAAAGTCCTGATGCTGAAGAACGAAATTCCAGAGAGACGATTTTCCCTTAAAAATGAGAAAAATTGTGATTCTCAAACCTGGAAAAAAATCCTACATGTTTGTTCTTCAAACCGTGGGCCCATATCCTTTCTAGAAGATCACAGAACGAAGCGACAAGGGTGTTCTCCTCGACGCCCGAAAATGTTGGATCCAAATGACCACAATTGACGGCTTCTTTTCCCATTTTGTCTACCAGCATCCTCTTTGTTTTCGCTGAAAAAGAGGGACCATTTAGGCTATTTCAGGCTTATGAATGTCCATTTTGGGCAGTCCTTGACCATTATTGGGTCATTCTCGACCGAACTTGTGCCATTTTAAAAATTTAGGTCATTTTTTTGTCATCTTTTGACCAGATTTAGGCCATTTTATACCTTTTTGGAGCATTTAAAGCCAAATTAGAGCTATTAGAGACCATCATAGACTAGTCTAATGATATTTTTAGACTAAATTTAGGTAATTTCAGACCACATTTGAACCATCTGTATCCCTAATTCCGGCCACCTACTTTTAGAGTGAATTTAGGCCAATGGTTTCTCACCTTTCGTTTCTTTCAAAAGCTGCTGGACGAATGCATACTGTTGTTGTGCTATCTGCTGACTGGATTCCACCTGCATCAATCCAGCTCCACCGTAGACGCTAGTTGGCCGCGCTGACTGTGATCCAGAATTTCCATTCCCACTATCCTTCTGTGAGCGTAACCTCGGATACCTCTGTCTCCATGGTGATGGTGCAGGACTGATTAAGTTGGCTCCATCCAACAAGGTGGTGTTCAATTGATGTACCGGCCAGGCTCCTTCGTATCGGACAGGGAAAGCACCAGCAAGGGCGTGAGGAGCTGGAACCACATAGTCCGTCGTCTCTTCTCGCTTAGAAATCAGTTCTTCTGTAGCAGCGAAAAGAGGAGTTGCTTCGTAGGTAGGGGTGCGAACGATTGAAACGCCAAGCAGATCACGCATAACAGCAATTCGATCATCGAAAAGAACAACTCCCTCATCTGGAGTCTCCCATTGTGAGAGAATCTTCGAATCGATAAATGTTGTAAACATTTGGGTCTCGAGAAAAGCAGCGAGAAACGCTAAGTGGCTGTCCGGTTGGTCCGAAAGAAAAGATGCTTTATCGAAACTGGCCATACTCTCTCGATTGGCTTCGTAAGATTCTCGATCATCACAGCCTTGACCACCGATAACAAAGTGCTCGTAGGAATAGAACATCTCGACGAACCGATTAAGAACACACTCGCGGATAGCGTTGTTCACTTTGGCGTCCTGAAAAAAGATAATGTGGATACATTGAATATTCATGAAACACTCACCACAAAATAGTGCCTTGCAAGAGGAGAGTCTAAATTTTGTGTACCAGCAAACTCCGTTTCTATGTTTCCCACATCCACGACGACACCAGCCCGGCGAGCAATTTCTGCCACTCTCGCCAATGTAGAATTGTTTCGAAGCACATTTTCTAGAGGCAGTGGTTGTAGTCCGGTACGAGAAGGGCGGCGCATCATGCCTCAAAATTAACAAGATTTTAAAAACAATCAGAAAATCAACTTACCACTGAGTTCTTCGCTCATCGCACTACCATCTTCAAGGTCGAAGGATCTGCTCATTCGCTTCACAGCCCAATCTTCAGGTCTTTTGTTTTTCTTCCTCATTTTGACTCCTCCTTCGGCAATGTCTTCTAGCTCTCCTCGAACAGTTGATACAGATGTTAACATTTTCTCGGCACCCGACAGCCTATCTATGGCACTTTTGATATCGTTGGCCAGTTGTCGTGCGCCAGGAAAAACCGGAACGTCTTCCGGAAGTTCTGATCGTCCAGTGTCCAAATCAACGACGCAAACATTGCTTTGGAACAATTCTTCAGGAACAGCATCTTCATAGTACAATCCCATGACGTAGGGAACTGGAGCTTCGAAAAAATCAAGTTTTGAATAAGGAAGAACTGGAGCGTAGGTCATCTGCCATCGAAAAGGAAAGGAGAGTGCTAGCAATGATTCACAAACTGTCATCAGTCGAGAAAGATCTTTGGAGCATAGAAGAATCTGATGTTCAAGAAGAAAGCAAGAAAACAATCGGATGAACTTTTCGACAGGAAGAAAATCAAAAATGCTTCCAATTGAGTCGTCGAAAAATGGAAGTTCCTTGGGACCAGGCCGTTGGACTACTATCATGGTGTCTAGAAGTGGTATCTGCAACATGAATGAAAGTTATCAGAAAACTTGAAAAACTACAAACCTTGAGAGTCATACTAGGAGACGGTAATGGAACTTCATAAAGACACCAGTAAATGTACGATTCCAGAGGTAGAGTTGGAGATGATGGAGAAGAAATTATTTTATGAAGAGAAGAGAGCAGGGCGCGAGTGGAATTCACAAGGGGGAGTCGAGAGAGCACGCAAATCGTTCGGGACCTGGGAATGAATAAATTGAAACCAATTTGTTGGTTTTCTTTCTTGTGAAACATGAAAAAAACTTACATGAAAAGTGTATTATGACCACCACCCTCGTAGTAAGAGATTCGCTTCGTCCGATCTCTTCGATTTCTTGGCAAAGTGTGAGTTCCACCTGGATTTCAAAATAATATAAATCTGAGTTTAATTATAAATACCTGAAACAGTTCCAGGAGGATGGTGCACTCTTTGTTGCTTCTCAACGATTCCATTATGCCTTGCAGTGATTTCTCTTACATGGTCCTGTTGTAACTGAGCCATTGCTTCGCATATCATCACATCCTTCACTTCTTCATAAAATGTGATTGCTGTACCGTTGACACGCGAGCCGTCGTACTTTATGTTTGCAAAAGTGTGAACCATGGGATTCTTGGGAACATCTTTTTCAGTATAAAATCGAAGACCTCGCGGCATACATAACTGAAAAATGAGTCTAGGTATTTTGATTTCGTATATTGTTTGGACTAACATGAAGGATATCATCAGAAAACGGATTTCCGGGTCTTCGTTGCGGAAAATGACTGATTATTTTAGCAACGAAGGATCTTTGGAGAGGCGGTCGAAACGCTGATGCAGAACATCCAGGGGATTCGCCCGGTGTATGATTCGAATCATATTTAGTGTCGACCTGTAAAAAATGTTCTGTTCAAGTAATTTTTTTTGTATGTCAGTTTATGGAAAATCGTTCAGCCTTCTATGGGGTTATTCAGCAGTAAAAAAAAATCAAAAAATCCGCGAAAATTCGGAGAATGAACCCTGGAATTCCATCCAAGTTTTGGGAATATGTTTCTCATAAGTTAACCCCAAAGTTTCATCCAGATTGGTTCATTCTCCGAGTCTTCCTCTTTTTTGTCAAACCGTTTGCTGGATAACCCCACTATTTTCCTCTCGCTCGTGTCCGCAGCAATCTGACTTGCATAAATTAGGTCTCGCTCATTTTTCGCTCTTCAAAACCTTTTTTGTTGTGTTTTTTGTCAGGCCGGTAGAGTTTTTTATTATCAAAATTTTGGAATTTACCACCAGTCCAATATCTGGATCGTAACCAGCGACGGCAAAATAGTCGACCAGAGTCACATCAATATCATTCGTATTTGTGCTCATTCCGCTTTGTCGTTCATATTGATAACAGAGGTTCTGAAATGGACAAGTGATAAGTAAAAAGGGGTAAACGCCCAGTTAGAGGTAACATGCGGAGACATAATAAACATAGGGAAAAATCGATACAAAGTGTGTGAAAATTCTAATTTAGTTTCTAATCATCTTGGTGCCTAAAAACACATGGGAATTCTAGTTTTGACAGATTTATTGACATAAAAGTGTGACGTCATCAGCAAGGGGGCTAGCACGAAGGGTGTGTCAAGCCGGCTTCATGGCGCGGCGTTGGTGACAGCTGGGTGAAATTCCGCAAACTCTGTGAGAATTTTGGCGTGAACTCGCGTGTACATCCACGAATTCCACAAAATGAAGCTAAAAGTTAAAGGAAAACATTCATTTCAAAATGGAAATTAACGAGACGCAAAAGTTTCACGAAAAACTTGGCAAACTTTTCGTGGCGAACGATTGCTTGTCAAAAAGTTCCGACGGAACGATTGACTCGTCCTTGGAACCGAAAGGTCAGTTAGTGTGAAGATGGATATGGGAGAGAGGGACAAACTTTGAAAGAATTTGAATCCTTGAAAAGGGGCAGGAAAAAAACGATATAATTTATAGAGGGAAAAACCGGAGAAAAGAAGACGGAGCTCATCTTTTCTCAAAAAAAAAGAAAAGAAAAGAGGAGCATCCAAGCGAGAGATAATTTTGTTGGTTTTGCACAGAAGGATAGTGGGAACAATTTCCAGATTCTCTCTTTCTCCATTTTTATATTTATTGCAAAATGCTTCTTTCAGAGGAATTCGGTTGCAAAGAAGAACTAGAAGATGGGGAACTATCGTTTGACGACAGCGATGATGCTATTGCGGCGCAGAAAAGAGAATTGACACGACAAAAGTATTGAGCGATTGACATATTTTTAATTTCTCTAAAACTAGATTAGCTCCAGGTTTCGCCGTTTTCGGCACAAGGAGTATCAATGCGATGAATGCGACCGTATGTTCACGCTCAAACACAATCTTCAGAATCACTTCGTTCAGGTTTTGAATAAAATTAAAACTACAAAGAAGAAAAATACATTTTTCAGTACCATATGGGTTGCAAAACTTTGCACAAAGCATGTCCTTCTTGTAAATGTTCCATATGTGGGAAGATCTACTCAGCTGCATCTGTCCTTGCTGAGCACATGATGCAAGAACATGAGTGAGTTCTTTCAACTAGCGTTTTAGATCTCAATAAATATATTTTCAGCAGGTACATAAATCACTTTCAGTGCTCCAAGTGCCATGAACAATTTTTAACACAAACTGCTCTTCAAAAGCATATGAAAGAGCACATGCGGGAAAGAAAATCGTGTCGATACGAGGGATGCAAGGGGTTGAAGTTTAAGAATAGCAGAGTAGGTGAAACGAAACGTACTTCATCCCACATTTATTTGGATTCAGGAGCTCGCCGAGCACGTGCGCCTCGAGCATAAAACCAGAGAGTTGTCTTGTTCTGTGTGCAATATGGAGTTCCGACAGCTGTCTGCCAAGATTAAGCACGAGAAAGGGCATGAAAAAGGTTTACTTTTTTCAATTTAATTATTTGGAAACGGAAGACAAAATTACAGAAAAATATGGTGATAGTACGGCAAATAGAGGGAAAGAACGAAGAAAAGCCATGGTAAGTTTACGATCAACCCAAGAAAAAGAGAGATTCTGAGTACCAAAAGCAATCAACAAATGGGTTTTTTTCAGTGTGATGAAGACCTTGTCAAAAGAGAACCGACGTCTCCTCTCTCGCCGTCTCCGATGAAGCGCCAGAAGTTTTATAGTCCTCAGTTTGAAGCTGTTCCCATCAAGAGAAAAACGACGAAACGGCTAACCAAAGAAGAGATTCTTGCTAAAATCAGAAGAACCTAGTTGGATATTCAAACTGTTGTTTTAGCCTGGTATAATAGTTGCTAATGAAAAATAATAAAAACATGAATTTTTAATAATTGTGATTTTTTTATGTTTTGAAAAGAAAATGTACATGGATACCTTGAAAACTGGAAAAAACACTGAAAACTGGTTTCATTTGTAAATCTACCGTAATTTCAAAGGAGCATGATTGGAAGTGGTTAATATGGCATCGACACGAATAGTATCGAAATGTAGTGGAAAGAATGCTGATTTTTTCTTTTTTGCAGTTTTTGGCATTTTATGAAGAGAAGCAAAAAATCACCGAATTGTTCGCTAAATACTTGTCAATCACTCCATAATTTTTTCTACCTTTGAATCCCGTAAAACATTTTCGCTCCAATGCCCAATAGCAGAATTGTTTTCGTGCGCCTTTAAGGGTTACTGTAATAGTTGTTTCTCATTGCAATTTTTCTTTGTTTTTTCGGCGATTTCTCACAGCTGTGATCACAGAACTGCGCTGTGATCACAGAACTGATTCTGCTTTAATGATGATTTAAAAAAATTATGTATTTGTCTGAATTTATTGAAAATTGTCGAATCGGTAAATATCGTTGCAAAAATATTTAAATTTCTTTATTTGCAAAAAAATCGGATTTCTTCTTTATAAAATGACATTCATATGTTTTACCGCTCAATTTCAGCCGATTTTTCTCTTTCTGTTGGTCGGAATTTCGGTATTTTCATCCTAGGAGAACAACAACATATTGATTTTTCGATTCCACCTATTTTTCTCAAATCCTTCAATCAATATTTCCCTTTATTCTGTTATCGTCAAAGTCTTTCAACACTTGCATTTTCTCTATCAATTTCACAAGCTTTTTGAGTGATGTGATGTTCGTGAAGACCAAGTAAGCGCGCTCCGTCGCGAAACGACAAACTGCAATTTTGTCCCAATGTTGTGCAATAGTTTTAGACAAAGACAGCCGTTTTTCCTGTTTTTTCTTATACGTTCGTGAATTTTTAAATTATGAACAACCTTCTTCAGAATCTTCTAGTAATGTCTGACGGTGCCGCAAAGTCGCCTGATGAAGGCAAGAATAACGTAAGATTATCTTAAAATTCAAAAAAGTCCTATTGAATATAATGTATTTGTAGAACCAAAATAAGAATCGAAACCAAGGAGGAAATCGTGGAAGAGGAGGCTCTAACAACAAGAAGCATGGCTCTTCTCGCCAAGCACCTCGTCAACCTACAAAAGTTGATATGAAAAAGTACGAGAGAATGATTTCCGCAGCACATGTTAGTTCCTTTTTTGAGTTCTGAAAAAATCAATGTGATTTCAGACCAACTTCTCTGATATTCCTTGCGGCACCAAATCTGTCGATTGTGATATTTGCTGTAAGAAGAACGATGTGTTTGGAGTGAGTTGTGTTCTTTGAATTTTTGAATTACAGTGAACCCTGTATTAGAAGAGCACCTTCAATTGAAGGGCTCCTCTAAAATAGATGGGCCCCTGTAATAGAAGGGCCCTCTTCAAAATGTCCTGTTTGAAATTGAAAATTTCCGTACGATTTCAGTAAAAAATATCCCGGAAATTCCACAAATTCACAGAATTCTATTGAAAAATGCTTTTTTGGTCAAAAACTTGCTTAATTTTGGTGAAATTGATGGATTTTCATGCATTTTGAACGAAAGAATTCACCAATTTTTGAATGAAAAATTTCTGAAAAAATGACTGGAAAAATAGAAGGGCCCTCCGGAGGTACCTTGAAACGAGCCGACCCTTCTAATGCAGGTTTTAGGGTATTCAAATGAATCTCTGCAATTTCAGATCGGTCCGTGTCGCCATCCAGTTTGTGCAGAATGTGTTATTCGTATGCGAGTGCTTGGAAACTCGAAAACATGTCCAGTCTGTCGAGCTGACATCGATGAACTGTCCTTCTGTACTGTAGATGATGATCTCGCATCGGTCAGCCTTAACTTCAAAAAGTCTGGACATCCCGATGAAGATCGTTTTGGAATTAGATTCAGTAACAAAGTGGCAGGAACCAAATATGAGAAGTATTTGGCTCATGTTTGCAAGATTTGCAAAACGTTAGTCTATTCTAAACGACGATAATTCATCAAAAATTTTATAGAGATGATGGTGAACGTCTGGAATTTCCGTCGTTCATGTCTCTCCGACAGCATATGGCCAATCGGCACGAGCAATCATATTGTCACATTTGTACCGACAACCTGAATTTATTTTCGCGAGAGAGGAAGACATACACAAGGGATCAACTTCAAAGGCACATGAGAAGTGGAGATTTTGATGATAAAAGTTTCAAGGGACATCCGCAATGCCTTTTCTGTGAACAGAAATTCTTGGATGAAGAGAATCGTTACCGTCATCTTCGCAAGGAACACTTCTTCTGTCAGTTCTGCGAATCGGATGGAACAATGACCAATGTTTTCTTCGGGTTAGGTTTTAAATTTTCTTTGAAAAAATGTAAAATATAATTTTAGAAAGCACGACGAACTCAAAAGGCACTATAAAGATCATCACTACATTTGTGAGACTGAAGAATGTAAGCAGATGGGAATCGCATTTGCCAACAAGTTTGAACTTGATCTGCACAGAGCAAATGAGCATTCAGAAAGGAGAAATCTTATTGAACTTGGTTTTGGGCAACGACCACCAGTTGATACGGCGAGACCGGTCGGAAGGTAATACAAAGATCACGAAAATTACATTCCAAAGTAATAATTTCAGAGGTCGCGGTGCTCCTCGATACAATGAGCCTCCTCCGCCCGTACCTCGAGAAAGAATTGCAGTCGTTCAGAGACAAGTTGAAACCAATCCTCAAAGCGATCCCAGCGAGTTCACCACTGTGAGATCTGCTCAGAGTAAAGGAGTTTTCACGAGCACCAGATCTGCTTTCACGCCTAGTCAAGTTGATTTTCCAAGTCTCGCCCCACAGGCGCCACCGGTAAGCTTCCGAATAATATTCTCAAACGGCAACCAATCCATTTTTAGCCGAGCATCCGTTCTTCTGAATTCCCTCGTTTGAATAAAGTGAACAAGCCTGCAGCCGCTGCTCCAACTGTTGTTGATCACTTCCCGTCTCTCGGAGAAACTTCATCGTCTTCTGCACTTCCATTGCGAATCAAAGTTCCGCCGCTGGTGAAAAAGCGTCAGCCTCCACCACCAACAGAGAACAAACCAAAGCAAGCGCCTTCCAGAAAACAGACTCCTAGAGAAGACACTGATGACTATTCTAGAAGAGATATTCCACAAACCGTTCTCAAAGTCAACAATAGAACAATGAGTTTCGATACTGTTGATGACCGTCCAGTAACCACAGCAAAGTCGAATATTCAAATGATACAGCGAGTGGAGCAAAACACCAATCAATCGTCTTCCTCTTCCGCGAAGGCACCTAGAATGCTGGATTTTCCGTCTTTACCGGCTGCTTCTGTCCCATTACCACCTGCAAACAGTTCCTGGCTGAATAGTAAAAACAGTAAAATTGTGAGCGGAGATGGGAATCTTTGTGTGTTCTCAAATTCTTCACTTTCAGAAGTCTTCTGGAGCGATTTCAAGTGTTGTTGTTCCTGCGAACTACTCCAAAGCTACACAGAATCAGAATAAGAAGAAGAACAAGGTGTCCGTACCGAAAACCGAAGTTTGGTCGTCTCTAGGCCCAGCTCCAGAAACTGTACCATCTGCTGTGGTTACGGATGAATGGCAGGATATTCCGTTATCCAAAGAAGCGCAGGCTGAGAAGGAGAAACAGGAGAAGAAGGTGGAGTGGGCACGACGGAAGGCGGAGATTCAAGCAAGAGTCGCGGCTGCCACGAAGGAGAAATTGGAAGCAGACCAATCTGAAGTTGAACCGGAACCTGAGGTGCAAAGGTAAGCTAGATCAAATAGAATATTTATTTTCTAACTTACCGTAAAACCTGTAATAGAAGGGCCCTTTTAGTTTTATCTTTAAGCCCATTTCTCTCGGTTCCCGTTGAAGATTTTAAAAAGTTGTCAACTGATAAAGAGCTCATCATAATACCACAGACATTTTACCTGTTGACACATTTTTGAAATGTTTTAAAGGAGCCGAGATTATTGAGCTTAAACTTGACTGGGTGTGGGCCCTTCTATTACAGGTTTTGAAGTAATACTCATCTCTTTGTTTCTCATAGTTTTTTTCCAGATCAGTAACACCACCTGCAGCACAAAACCCCAAAATTACGGACAACAAAAGTTCAGAATGGTTTGTTGCTAATTCGAAAACTTCTGCTAAACAAGGGGATGCTAGCAGCATGGCTCCGTCCACTCAGAAGAACAAAAATAAAGTAATAAGCTTAATCTCTTTATTTCAATAAAAATTTCACTTTCAGAAAAATAAAAACAAAGGGAGCGCCGCTTCAAACTCCATCCAGCAAGATTCAGCTCCTCCAGGAATCGCAGAACAACCTCCTAAGGTCCAACAGACCAAAAAAGTGGAGTCAGTGGTTCCAGAGCCGGCCAAAGATTCCTATCAAGAAAAAATGGACGCGGTAAAAATGAATATGATTGAGAGCCTGAACCTAACACTTGTTTGTAGCTCTGGAACATGCCCAAACTCCCTTCGATGACATCAATGCTGTCGTCGTTTTCGATTTCCAATATTTTCGGAATGGGTGCTTCCACCGCAGAACCAGTACGTTACAAATACATTAAGATATACAAAAACGAATTTAACAGCTGATATTCGGTCATTTTTACCATTTTCAGGAGTCTAGAGCTCGGCTGTAAAGTTTCCGATGTCTTTGGAAATTTTGGAGAGCATTCACAGAATATTTTGAATTTTCGAGAAAAAAAATATTTTTCTTCAATTTGTTCGCAAAACTTCTCAACCTTTTCAGGTTTTTCAGCCATTTTTGAAGATTCTTTTTGGATTTTTCCGAATTTTTTGTCTGAAATTTGACAAGATTTTGTTCGCGAGGATTACTGTAGAAGGTTTTGTAGTCTCTTTGGCTATTCCAATCACGTCAAAATACAGAAACTAAAAAGCAAATAAGTTTCTACAGTAATCTTTGTGAACACCATCTTGTCACTTCAGACAAAAAATTCGGAAAAGAAATTTCAAAAATAGCTGAAAAACCTAAGAAGGTCTAAAAATTTCGCAACAAATTGAAGAAAAATCAATTTTTGCTGGAAAATTCAAAAATTCAAAGTTTCCAATCTAAGTATATTTGACACTCTTTTTTTCAAAGTTCTCGGACATTTGCCAGCCAAGCTCCAGACTCCTAAAAATGACCTAAAATCAACTGAAACGTATGTTTTTGTATATCTTATTGACCAGTACTGTACGTACATTGGGTGTTTTATCTTCTCTTTTCAGTCAGTGAATGCCGCTCCACCACCTGGACTAGAAAACGTTGTCTTGACTCCTCCACCAGGACTTGGGTTCCCTACTGCAACAAGCTCTAACGAGATTTCATTTGCTTCGGCTCCAATGCTGTCGCATGACGATGTGAGAGAAAAACGAGAGCGAATGAATGAGGATAGACGGAGAAAGCAGGAAGAGACTGAGAAGGTAAGAAGAATGGGTTAGCTGATCTATTGACTTTGAGCCAAACATCTGTCTGGTGATAAGAAACATCAGTGTTTATTTTGGTAGAAGGAAACTAGCAAATGTACACGCACAATAGTACCTCACTTACCTCTCATTTTCAGAAAGACGATGGTTGGGTAACAACTGGAAAGACTGCAAACAACAAGAAGAACAAAAAGAAATAATTTATAAATACATAGGTGTTTAAAGTTTCTATCATCTCTTTTTCTCATATCGTTTTCAACTAATATAGGGTTTTTTTTCTTTTTTCGTGTTCATCGTCTTCTCATCTGCCGTTTGTTTTTCTTTTCTCTCCGTCTCCCTGTTCCACTGGTAATTAGATAATAAAGAGAGTTCAACAAAATAGTTTACCTGTTATCAATGACAAGACTATCCAGCGTCATTACCTGACAGTATTAGAGCTATGGGTTTGGTCAGTCTAAATATTGAACAGGTAAGACGCTGGACATTGGTCACTTTCGAATAGGACAGTAGCCGAATAGGAATGACGATGATTCGAAGGGAATACCGGGGCGGGGTGGGTCCTCATCGTGTGCTCACCGAGAGAGCAACAAAAAGTGGGCGGAACGAGTGGGAGAGGGGCGGGATTTCCCGGTGGCGACCACTTACAGTGCTTTTGTAGGTGGGCAAATAGAATGAACATGGGAACAGATAAGATGTGATTAATTCTTAAATTAAAGGCTAAATTATTCAATAGTCTGGAAAAATACACAAGGTTCGAGATGCTGTGGTATGCAGTTGCGCTCTAATGAGAAGACGACGTGGCAAAGCTTTAGGCAAAAAATTGCAAGAGATTTGAATTTTCAACGGCCTGAAACTTCGTCACGTCACCTTCTCATTAAAGCGCAACTGCATACCACGATAGCGTGTGACGTATGCAGTTGCGCTCTAACGAGAAGGTGACGTGGCAAAGTTTTAGGTCGTAAAAATTCAATTTTCTCGCAATTTTTGGTTGATTTTTCATCTAAAAATTAATTATCTATTATCGCTATCTGAAGAATAAGAAGGTGGAGAGCGGAATATCTCGTTAAATTTTTCTTAAAGGGGCAAGAGCGGAGACTACCGTATTTCACCAATTTTTTTCGACGGTTTTCATCGTTTTTTCAATGATTTTCATCGTTTAAAATCATTTTTTCTTAGTT